AGTTTTTCATTTGTTAATATTATTACAAGGCTTTCCCCCCTTTGTTCCCTTCCTTGCACATTTTTTTTTCTTGTATCCATGGGTCAGTACATTTTTATCATCAATACTGATCTCTAACTTGATAATCGTTGCTACTAAAACCAGGACTTCCAATAGTAGTTTTCTTTTGGGAGTTACTGCTGAAATGGACGATTTGATTAAGTCAGAGAAAGAGGGCAGTAAGGTAACCAGGTGTCTATAAAACAATCTTTTTAAAATTTTGTTTACTTATTTATTTATTTAGTTGTAGTTGACACAATACCTTTATTTTATTTATTTATTTTTATGTGGTACTGAGGATCAAACCCAGGGCTTCACACTCACTAGGCGAGCGTTCTACCACTGAGCCAAACCCCAGCCCTATAAAATGATCTTAAACAGCTTTAACACAGTATTATTCTTTGCATTTTTTTTTATATATGGCCTTGTTTTCATTAGTCAACAATTTATACCTCTACTTCCAAAGGCAAGTGGATTCATCTTAATAGGTAAAAGATTGAACCAGTGCTTTAACCACTTGCCCCATGGGGAACATCTCTGTACATCCTAGTTTCTTCCCAAAACACCCTTTGGTCCCTCCATCAAATGTGTAAACATAATCCAGCCAGAAGCTAGAGGAGACTGTGCTTGATCTTCTACTGCCTTGCACTGTGCTCTTACTCAAAACATTTGTGTTGTCGTCTTGGGATGTTTTCTCTTTGTGTACAACAAAGCTTTCTGTTTCAAAAAGCTGATTGATGATGGGAAAAGCAGCCATACTCTAAAGTGCATTTCTAAATGCATATTCTAAATGTAAACTAAACAACTTTCTCTAACTTGTAAAACAAAAACACCTGTGTGTTTAAAACTCCCATGTTGGAGGCCAGCACATTTTCATTGGGAAGTATTTAAGTACAGTAATAGAGCCTCTGTCCTTAGACAACTTGCATAGCAGTAGGGAGAGTCAGACAACAAAAATTTAGGCAAATGATGATTTCAGCAACAAAGAGGTGTAGTGGTTTGAAAAGAACTTAAATGGAGTGTCATTTTCTAATTTACATTTTAAAAATATCTGGTTGCTGTGTGAAGAGATTGAAAGGGGGCTTTTACTGGATGGTATCTATGAAGTTGGAGGGAAATATATAGAATTTAGAGAGGTGAGAAGAAGATAAAATGGAAAGAACCTGGTAATGGGCTGAGTAAAGGTGAGGATGATATSGTGGACAGTTTCCCAGGTTTTGACTTAAGCAAATGGCTGGAAGAGAAACTATTCATTGAGATAGTAAAGAATGGAGGAGTGCAGGTAATGGATAGAGTTGGAAAATATTATGCTAAGTGAAATAAGCCAATCCCAAAAAACCAAATGCTGAATGTTCTCTCTGATATGAGGATGATGATCTATAATGGGGTTAGGGGTGGGGCATGGGAGGAATGAAGGAACTTGAGATAGGACAAAGGGRATGGAGGGAAGGGAGGGGGGATGGTGGTAAGAAAGATGGTGGAATGAGATGGACATCTTATAATGTATGAAGACATGAATGGTAACTCCTGCCAAATGCCAATGTCTCGGCTTGACACAGAATCACGAGCCACCACACAGCTTTGTAGGTTCAAACAGCAATTCTTTATTCCGGATCTCACACCAGCCTCCACACATGTTCAGGGGCAATCCCTAATATGCCCGTCCCAAAATCCTACTCCACGAGGCTTTTTCCAAATCCCATTTTAATCTCACAGAACTCAACGGGAACAAGCAGCAGGAACACCCTAATCCCAGCAGCCATAATCTTCAACCTCTAACTTCCCTAAAACTCCTATTGTCATGCCCTAAACCCAAGGACAGGGATATTTCCTGCAGGAATACACCCTRATCCTGGATCCACCCTGGTGATTGAGCAGGGTCACCTTTCTCAAACACACAAACAAGGTCGCAGCAAATTTCCAAGGCAAGTCCATTTAACATGGGGTACACTGGCAAGGATTACGATGCRTCATACCTACTTGGTAATGGCTCTCAGCAAACTCCACTTTGTATACAACCAGAGAAATGAAAAATTGTGTTCTATATGTGTAATATGAATTGAAGTTCATTCTGCTGTCATATATAACAAATTGGAATTTTAAAAAATGGAGGAGGACTTCTTTAGRGGACAGGAAAGAATCAAAGATTCAGTCTAGTATTTGTTTTGTGGTGCCTACAAAATCACAAAGGAAAAGAAAAATCTTAAATACTTTAGCAAAGCAAGTCTAGAAAAGAGGTCAAGGCTGAGTTATAGCTGTGGGAGTCATGGCACATGGGTGGTATCTGAAGCCATGGGAGTGGATGAGATCACACGGGGGTGAGAAGAGACTGAAGGAGAAAAACTTGGTCCAGGACTAGCTGTGAGATACACCAGGCCTGGAAGGGATCTGGGAGAGCATGTGGAACTGACAAATGAGCCTGAGCAGGAGTGGCTAGTGGCAGTTAATTTACAAGGAAGAAAAAAGTCATGTTTTATGATCACAGACCACACATTGCTGGCCAGAAGCTCTCAGCCACAAAACCTAGTTGGCTCAGAAAAAGCTCTTCTAATGCTGGAAAATAAATCCACTGCATGCGTGTCTTCCTGGTAGATGGGGAGAAACTGCTCCATCTTCATTTTAAAAGGCAACTATGCTGGAACAATCCAAAGAATAAAATGAAAGCGTGATGTAGTTGCTATGTTTCCAAACAGGGTTTGAAGTTCCTCTGGAATGAATATGAAAGCCTCAGAGATCAGCTTCCTTGTTCTGATTCTGACTTGGTTGCCAGTAAACTGGGGAATAATCTTGCTTAGCAGGCACTAGATTTGCCTTTACATCCTTGTGCAGGAGGTTGAAGTAATGCCCCAAAGTTTTTGTTTCTTTTTGTGTTTGAAAATAAATGGAACATTGAGATTCAATAAGAAAAGCAGCTGAGAAGAGATGCAAACTTGCAAGTCCAGCTTAGGATGAAGAGTAGCACAAAGGAATCTTTTAAATATCTCTCCCTCTGGTACAACACATAAAGTGTGTCCATCTGAGAGACATTGCAGAAAACYCCAAATGGGATAGTGCCAAGTTCTAAAAGATTAAAAACAGAATAACTTTTCAACTTTAGGCAGAATACATTGTTGAAATCCTAGAATTATTTGCTGTGTATCTGAAAATGTTTGGGTATCTATTCCTGCATAAGTCAGATTTATTTATTTGATGAGGTCCATATAGAGAGTTTTAAGGTAAGAGATGGTCCTTGGTCTTCACATAATAATATTAACTATGTGGGTGCCATTCTGATATAAATTCTTTACTGTGAATTAACATTCTTTTGTAAATCACTGAAGAAATAGGAATAGAAATAGACTACTGCTTAACTGACAACATTTAAAAGCTTGGAAACCGCCATGAAATTGACTGTTTCTCATTCTTTTTCACTTTCCTTTTCTTTCTCAAAATAAATTTTAGTTCTTCTTCTGAAGTTTCAGTTCATGTTTCAGAAGTTTAAATATCAGCATTTGTGAGGGCRGCACTTCTAGTTCAATCATGAGATTCTTTTTGTAAATATACAAGATTGTRTATTTATGAATGATCATTAGGAACCACTTTGTAGTTTCCTGTATAGTACTGTATACCTACCATGAGGCCAAGTTGCCAATAGAATGTGACTCTTCTTTGTCCCAATTTCACACCTAACATGACAGTTCCAGATTGAGGGAGTCACCCTTCTTCTGAGTCTTCCCGGCTTGGGTTGGAAGGCGTTGCCTTCTTGCTTCCTAATAATGCTAGCCTGTGCAAACGAGAAATAATTTTATATCATCGATGCCCTGACTCATCCCTATCTGCCTGTATTTTTAAGCTTTTTATCTTTTATCACCAAACTTTCCAGCAGCTGGCCTAAGCTCATACACTGGCATGTGCAGTGAGATCAGCTACCTCTGGACCCAAAGATGGGGGATACACCCTTAGAACAAAAGTTCTGAAGCCTTAGGAGACAAGGGATAAAGCATAGTTACAGAGAAGTGGCTTTCAGATTGCAACATGGACAGAGCAAGGGAAATTGTGGTARAGGAAAATAAATCTTGATTCGGGGAATAAACATTTTTTGAGCATTTTCACTGACCTGCTCTAAGCTAGAAGCATGATACATACAACTGTTATTTTGTGTATCTTAAACATTTGTCAATTAAATTAAAAATTATGATCATTCCAAGTAAACTCTAAGCATCACCTTTTTCAAAGTATGTTTTTCATGTAGCACGTTCTGGTAGCTCATGAAATATGGCTATTTCAAAATGTAAAAAAATGGAAAAGAAACAATGAGTCATTTATCAGAAATGGCAAATGACATTGGGCTCTCTGAGGAGTATTTCCTTCCAAAGCCTGACTTCTGGGRGTTGAAATTCAAGGTGGTCAGGATGGCTGAGCTAGAGACGGCCAGCCAGTGTCTTATGAAAGTAGGCTTTTTTGCAAATGTATTATAAAACAGGGCCCTCCCTTTCATCTGCTTCTAAGAATTTCCCATTTTACCCAATCTCAAGGCTTTCATTTAAATTAATTTCTTTAAATTGCTCTGGGTTGCTGTTGCCCAGAGGACAGAAGTAGAGTTGACTTTATATTTTAAATCAGGTAAAAACTACATAAAAACTTACTACCTCATGAGATGTACTGTTTTGAAATCAGAAAGTTATTTTCAAGAAAGTCACCAACTTTATAAAAGAAAGTATTGACTACATAGCAGAAGTTACAAAATATTTGAGTTACACATCATGCTGTTAATTCCATAAAAGAGAATCTAATGGCCAGAAATGTAGAAAAAAATTAAACTGATTTTCTTGACAGAGATTTTATCAGTAGATGGGAGGCAAAGTACATCTACTGATAAAATCTACTGAGAATGAGGGAAAAATACTCCCTAATATTTGGTTTTTGATTTGATTCTTTTGTTGATATTTCCTGATCTTTTATTCTCCCTCTCTCTTCTTTAGTGGCCACAGATGTCTTTAACTCCAAAAACCTGGCCGTTCAGGCACAAAAGAAGAYCTTGGGTAAAATGGTGTCCAAATCCATCGCCACCACATTGATCGATGACACAAGCAGCGAGGTGCTGGACGAGCTCTACAGAGTGACCAAGGAATACACCCAGAACAAGAAGGAGGCTGAGAAAATCATCAAAAACCTCATCAAGACAGTCATCAAGTTGGCCATCCTTTACAGGAATAATCAGTTTAATCCAGACGAGCTGGCACTGATGGAGAAGTTCAAGAAGAAAGTCCACCAGCTTGCGATGACGGTGGTCAGTTTCCATCAGGTGGATTACACCTTTGACTGGAACGTGTTATCCAGGCTGCTGAACGAGTGCAGAGACCTGCTCCACCAGATCATCCAGCGCCACCTCACTGCCAAGTCACACGGACGGGTTAATAATGTCTTTGATCATTTTTCAAATTGTGAATTTTTGGCTGCCTTATATAATCCCTTTGGAAATTTTAAACCTCACTTACAAAAACTTTGTGATGGAATCAACAAAATGTTGGATGAAGAGAACATATGAGTATGTGAGTTAAGATTGTGACTGATTGTGATTTATTTGAAGTTGGAGCACTGCTGATTCATGAAGGAACAAAAGAATTTTTTTAAAAGTTTATGCATATTTCAGAAAGACTTTGCCCAATTCAACTGTCAGACATTAATGGTAGTGCTTTCATGAGGTTTTATTTGAAGAAAACTTTGCCAAAAGTTCTGGCTAAAAGCTTGTTAATGGGTGAGAGATCATGAGAAAATGTATGGCTGGTAATGCACATGTAGAGTTATATAAAAGAGAAACAAGTACGGCTCCGAACTTTAAGATGTTTTTAGGGCAGTTATTGGTGGCACATTGGATATTTCTGATATGTACAAAATTACATATTTTGTTTCACTTTTATTCCTTACTATGTATATGCTCTTTTATGAAGCCAAGAACTTTTTCTTGCTGTCATTGCTCCTTTTGAACCAATTCTATTTTCAGGCATACCTACTCTTGATTCTTGTGTAATAGATTATGTCATTGACATTCTAGAATTAATTCTGAGGCAGTCATGTTAADCCCTCAGAAAAACAAAAAACCTCCATATATGAAATCAGTACTGTGGTAGTGAATTAATTAGACATTATGAATTATGTCCAATGTATGGAATATGCTTCTGAAAAAAAAGTACTTCTTCTTTTRTTCCAACAATGACACTCAAATTCTCAAAAATGTAATGGTATGTTATTGCTTTGAAATGCTTGCTTCAAGTTTCTCTTTGATGTTGTCTTTGAAAGTGTGCTGATAAAATCTCCATTATTAACGTCCATTTCATGTGTTAGAGACCAAGAGAAAATATATCTATTAATTGGTTTTGATATTGAGGCAATAAAAAAATGGATAACTTTAATAAAGTAAAAAAATATTCATTTTAGAGATGAACCCAACAAAATAATTTAGGAGCATGTGGGACAAAAGGGAAGAAAGGGAAGAAAGGATGTTGCTAAAGAACATGAGCAGAAAGATGAATGTGTTTTGTTGTTTAAGAAGGTTTGATAAATAAACAATGTCACTTTTTTTATTTACCTATGAGGTTTTGGTATTTTGTTATTGGCTATTTTAAAAATGAGTAAACTAAAGAATATTTGCATTCTAAGCAGTTTGTCTTGGTTTCTATGTAATTTTTTWAAAATACTTTTTTAAGTTGTAGATGGACACAATACCTTTATTTATTTTTATGTGGTGCTGAGGATTGAACCCAGTGCCTCACATGTGCTAGGCAAGTGCTCTACCACTGAGCCACAACCCCAGCCCCATTTATATATAATTTTAAGTATGTGAATGATAAAGTAGTATAGCAAATGAGAGTATTTTAAAAAAAGAAATGGAGGGTCTGGGGATGTGGCTCAAGCGGTAGCACGCTCGCCTGGCATGTGTGCGGCCCGGGTTCAATCCTCAGCACCACATACAAACAAAGATGTTGTGTCCGCCAATAACTAAAAAATAAATATTAAAAAAAAAAGAAATGGAAACCTGCTAGCTGACTGTATCATCTGGGAAATAACAGGCTCAACCACCAGCAGTAAATATTTATTTGCATTGCCATTCTGTCTGTGATTTAGTGTACTCTTTGGCCTTGACTTTGCCTTCCTCCCAGAATAATGACATTAAAATAACAGTTCACTAGGAAGGGTCCCACAGATGAAAATTCCAGAAGTTGAGATCTGTTTTAACCCATCACCACCTRGAGGGGAATGGTCAGTTTCTCTGGGACCATCTTTTGCTTGGCTAAGTAAGACAAGTAGCAAAGGCAGAGTATCTTCCTGCTTGATATTAAATCCTGAGACTGAGATTTGAACTGAAAGTAACATTCTCACTTCCTGGACCCAGTAGGTGATCACTAGATGTTATAACAATAGCATGATGACTACAGAATTGGTCCTTGAGCTTCATAACCTGCTAGATGGCTCAGGAATGGAGTTCAACAGCCTTACTCAATCAGCTCTCTCTTTCTTACATGGGAAAGCTGAGTGTGAGCTACCGATTTGTTGCCTTCTGTTCTCAGACCTCATAGTAGGACTATGGATGATGGAGTGCCCGGAGAGATAGTGAATGAGCTTCTTGCTCATTTCTAGCTGGGGACAAGACCTAGAGAGAAAAGACCTTGGGTAGTGGGCCGGGGGGGGGGGGGGGGGGGCCGGGGGGGGGGGGGTGTATAGTTAGATATGTCTGGGCACATTTGGATCATATTGTTGCCCCTGCAGGATAGCAATCAAATATGCATGGAAGTAGCAGGAGCAACCCTTGATCTCACACAGAGGAAAGGCAGTGAGGAGTACAGTCATCCCTCTGTGTCTATAGGGGATTGGTCCCAGGATCCCTGCAGACACCAAAATCTATGGATGCTCAAGTCTGTTGTATAAAATGATGTAATATTTGCGTATAGCCTAACTATAACCTCTTTTTAAAAATTTTTTWAAATTTATTTATTTTATTGTTTTATTCTGATTTGTTATATATGACAATGGAATGTATTACAATTCATATTACATATACAGAGAACAATTTTTCATATCTCTGGTTGTATACAAAGTATATTTACACCATTCGTGTCTTCATGCGTGTACTTTGAATAATGACGTTCATCACATTCTACCATCTTTTCTAACCTCATGCCCCCTCTCTTCCCCTCCCACCCCTTTGCCCTATCTAGAGTTTGTCTGTTCCTCCCATGCTCCCCCTCCCTACCACACTATGAAATAGCTTTATGCTGATTATTTTAATGAATCAAAATAATAGCCATTATTTATCAGGTGATAACCATAACCTCTTACATTATTTAAATCATCTCTAGATTACTTAAAGAACACAGTGTAAGTGCTATGTAAACAATTGTTACACTATATTGTTTAGGGAATAATGACAAGAAAAAGTAAATCTGCTGCGCACAGCCATTCACACCTGTAATCCCAGTGACTCTGAGGCAGGAGGATCACAAGTTCCAGGGCAGCCTCAGCAATTTAGGGAGGCCTTTGGCAACTTAGTAGACCCTGTCTCAATTTAAAAACCAACAAGGGGGGATGGGGGGATGTAGCTCAAGCAGTAGCGCGCTCGCCTGGCATGCTCGGGGCGCTGGGTTCGATCCTCAGCACCACATAAAAATAAAATAAAAAGATGTTGTGTCCACTGAAAACTAAAAAATAAATATTAAAAAATTCTCTCTCTCTCTCTCTCTCTCTCTCTCTCTCTCTCTTAAAAAAAAAAAAAAACCAACAAGGGCTGGGAATGTAGCTCAGTGGTAAAGCGCCCCTGGGTTCATTCCCTAGTAAACATAAAGAAAGGAAGGAAGGAAAAAAGGGAGAGAAAAGTACATGAACTATATGTGTTCAGAGCACACGTTTAAAATATATTTTTAATCCACGGTTAAATCTATGTGGAGGGCCAACTGTATACTACTGAAGGAAGGGATCCTACTTGCTACCATTTCTTTTTTTAATTTAAAAAATTTTTTTTGAACTTTTTGGTACTGGTTGATTGAACTCAAGAGATGTTTAATCATTGGGCCAACATCTCTAGTCTTTTTTTTTCCTTTTTTTTTTTTTTGGTACCAGGGATTGAACCCAGGTGTGCTTAACCACTGAGCCATATCCCCAGCCCTTAATATATATATATATATATATATTTTTTTTTAGAGACAGGATCTCACTGAGTTGCTTAGGGTCTCTCTTAGTTACTGAGGATGACCTGAAACTTGGAATCCTCCTGCCTCAACCTCCCAAGTTGCTGGGATTGCAGTCCTGTGCCACCATACCTGCCCAGCTGCTACCATATATTTTTGAGGGGACCTATTATCAGTCTTGTGTCTGGAAAGGATGACTTAGAAGAGCCAGTTACAAAGTCAGGATTGGCAGGTTAATTTCTCATACAATTGGACTTCCATGAAATTAGAGTAGCTGTGAAAGTGGGCAGGGTAGAGAACTAGAAAGGATTTGAATGGGCTTGCAGTAGGTAATTCAGAATGTAATAGTAATTTGTGTGTCTTAGGAAAGTTTTTAGATGATGTCTTTTTAGCTTTGGGAAAAGAAGGAATTGTGTTGAAATTGAATTTTATCAATTTTATGCTGTTGTCTTTTCTGCAAATATTAGGAGGTAGTATGGCAAGTAGATRATGACACAAACACTGACAACTAACACAAAGTGGTTATTTTGTGCCAGGTACATTCACTCGTTTACTCCCTGCCACCACCTTCATCAATTCACAGATGAGGAGACTGAGGCCAGAGAAATTAAGGAGTTTGCATCAGGTCACATAGCTACTAAGAGTGACAGCCAGAATATCAATAAAACCTTATTTTTATTCAAATATAATATGATTAAAGGCAACTCCACAAACATCACTGGGCTCAAAGAAGGGTGTGCGTTATACTTCTGAAATGGCTTTTCAAATAGTGACATTTTAGGYAGAATTTAAATTCCTACAGGTTTAACCTGTTTTCTAAAGATCTGGGTCTGATTTTATACAAAGACATTTTTCAAAGTTTTCTACATGGCTCTGATTTTGAAGGCGTCTTGTGGCTCAGATTTCTGTCTCTTGTGGAACTTCAATTCAAGGTGCTAACAATTAAGGTTGATTTTGAACATGACTCCTGAGGTACAGCATGCCCCCTCCTCCACAGCAGCCTTTAGCAGAGGCCCAAGACCTCTGTGCTCTCTCCAAGACAGCTCTCCATTGTGTTCTGCAGGGCAGGTATGACATCAATTCAAAGCTTCCACATTATTTTTCAGGTTTGGAAGCTGAAAACATTTGATCGATAAGCTAAAAAATAGCCTTGTATTTTTCTGATTATTAGACCTTTCATAGCAACTCAAAATTAGTCAAAAAGAAAAGCATGTATTACAATATATTTACATTTGCTTTATACAAAGAATTCAATGCAAAATGTCATATACATAATGATACAGATTTTTAAATAAACCAAAGTGGATTTTTATGCTAAAAAAAATCAAAGCATGTATTAGAAACTTTATAGTACAGAAATATTGCTCTTTTTTTTTTTTTTGGTCTTATATTACAATATCTCATTCACACTTGTCCAAAAAACTCTTTCTCTCCCACCATGTAAATACTTTTTTTTTTTTTAATTCACAAAGCGTAAACTTTCTAATGGATTCCTGCTATCCACCCAGGCTTAAAAGACTACTTTTTTGTAGTTTGTACATATCAAATTGCTTGGATTATTTTTTTTTACTGAGAATTTTAATTTATCCTTGGAATATTTGATGAGAATATGTAGCTAAATTATAATGTAACCTACCAACTCTAACAAATAATAAATGAAAAACAAATGTGTTTATTCATAATGTTAAAATATTTGTAGTAAAAAGTTAAATGCTATTCAAGTGCTAGGAAAATATTCTAATAAAATAAACAATTATTCTGTTCATAGGAATTATAATATTTAAATTTTTTTTTGCCAATTTTGCTTTTGACACTTGCAAAA